TATGTTTGATTAAATGACAAACATTGTGTCAAAATGCTTATCAACAGAAAAAAGCAGCCAGTATTTCTGCAGCAGAGGGATTTGGCTCATTAGCATTTAAGGTGAAATCAGAGCCATGAAACGCTGAAGTGAGTGAGAGAACAGGCTCCACAAATCTGATTGAAGCTTCCCTCAATACGATTGGTCAACCTATAAGCTATAGCATATAAAAAAGCTTTTTAGTTTGCATAAAACTGCCTTCAGCAGCTCTGTGTTATTTTGTGTGTGTGTGTGTGTGTGTGTGTGTGTGTGTGTGTGTGTGTGTGTGTGTGTGTGTGTGTGTGTGTGTGTGTGTGTGTGTGTGTGTGTGTGTGTGTGTGTGTGTGTGTGTGTGTGTGTGTGTGTGTGGTGAGACGGAGCTGATGAGGCATCCACTTAGCACCAATTTAGGTCATGCTAAACAAATGCTTTACTGGAGGAGGCACAGACAAATGGGACCATCGCTTCTCTTCTTGAGGAGATTTCATTTTCTTAGCATGTTTATTGGGGTATATCACCAATGGCAGGGAGTTTATTTAGCATTTAAGGGATGTTTATATTTAATCATTGCTTTTATATTTAATGATTAAAGTGACAATGTACACACTTTGTACATATTCCATTTACAACCAAGTTGTATGTGCTGAGACCAGTTCAATGGAAGATTTTCCTTAGTGGGTTTTTCCCGGGTCTACATTTTGTGCCAAAATGTAAAGATCTTCTACCTTTTTTTATTTTTATTTTTTATTTCACCTTTATTTAACCAGGTAAGCCAGTTGAGAACAAGTTCTCATTTACAACTGCGACCTGGCCAAGATAAAGCAAAGCAGTGCGATAAAAACAACAACACAGAGTTACATGTGGGGTAAAACAAAACATAAAGTCAAAAATACAACAGAAAATATATATACAGTGTGTTCAAATGTAGCAAGTTATGGAGGTAAGACAATAAATAGGCCATAGTGCAAAATAATTACAATTAGTATTAACACTGGAATGATAGATGTGCAAGAGATGATGTGCAAATAGAGATACTGGGGTGCAAATTAGCAAAATAAATAACAATATGGGGATGAGGTAGTTGGGTGGGCTAATTTCAGATGGGCTGTGTACAGGTGCAGTGATCGGTAAGGTGCTCTGACAACTGATGCTTAAAGTTAGTGAGGGAGATAAGAGTCTCCAGATATTTTTGCAATTCGTTCCAGTCATTGGCAGCAGAGAACTGGAAGGAATGGCGGCCAAAGGGGGTGTTGGCATTGGGGATGACCAGTGAGATATACCTGCTGGAGCGCATACTACGGGTGGGTGTTGCTATGGTGACCAATGAGCTAAGATAAGGCAGGGATTTGCCTAGCAGTGATTTATAGATGGCCTGGAGCCAGTGGGTTTGGCGACGAATATGTAGTGAGGACCAGCCAACAAGAGCGTACAGGTCACAGTGGTGGGTAGTATATGGGGCTTTGGTGACAAAACGGATGGCACTGTGATAGACTACATCCAATTTGCTGAGTAGAGTGTTGGAGGCTATTTTGTAAATTACATCGCCGAAGTCAAGGATCAGTAGGATAGTCAGTTTTACGAGGGCATTTTTGGCAGCATGAGTGAAGGAGGCTTTGTTGCGAAATAGGAAGCCGATTCTAGATGTAACTTTGGATTGGAGATGCTTAATGTGAGTCTGGAAGGAGAGTTTACAGTCTAACCAGACACCTAGGTATTTGTAGTTGTCCACATACTCTAGGTCAGACCCGTCGAGAGTAGTGATTCTAGTCGGGTGGGCGGGTGCCAGCAGCGTTCGATTGAAGAGCATGCATTTAGTTTTACTAGTGTTTAAGAGCAGTTGGAGGCTACTGAAGGAGAGTTGTATGGCATTGAAGCTTGTTTGGAGGTTTGTTACCTTCTACATTTTAACTTTCAAAAACTGAAATCGGTGTACAATATGCATAAAATATGTGGATTGCTTATGATTAGCATACTAATGACTAATCATCATATTAATCAGCTCATTTGTGACCTCAAATTTCAGAATGTTGGAAGTATTGGGCTAAAGACTGATTGAGAGATGCTCTAATCTCACATAAGGTACAGAACAATAAAACACAGATGTGAATGTAAGGTTGTTTAGAAATATGCAGGAACATGTACCAAATATCAATGAAATGCATGTTATACTGTTAGCATTATCATGTGAAGGAATTATGTAACAGCATAGGAGTTACTGTATGTATGTCCACAATTGAGGGATCAAATCTAACATTTCCCTTTTAATATATATATATATATATATATATATATATATATATATATATATATATATATATATATATTATTTTTTTATCAACAAGCTTTATTTTTGAGATTATGAGAATTGAATTCACAAGATTACAGATGAAACCATTTTCAATGTATCAGTATTAACATCCAATATGTCTTAGCATTTCTTATTTATTCATTTTCAGAGGTTATCTTTATCAGTTGCATGGTCTCATTATTGACTTATTCAATGTATTCAATGAGAGAAAGCTTACCTAAATTTCCAAATCCTTTATCTTTGCGTTTTAATAATAAGACGTTTATTATTTTGTGGAATTGAATTGCCATTATCCATTTTCACAGATTCATACAGTATACATTGATATCAACATTGCATTATATTTCACCCAAATATAATAAACAAACCTGTATGAAATATGTTTCATATTGGGAGCTTGGCAATATCATAGTACGATCATCTTACTGAGTCAATTTGCAATGAATACCATCTGGGAATGATTTAATTTTTTTGGCATTAGATCATCAACTTATTTTCAATTCCACTTCATATTTAACTCCAATTTTAATCTATAGTGTACATTTGCTTGCTGTAAAATGCAATTACTATCCCAATATGGATACACTATAGAATTGAAGATATCTGTAAGCAATAAAGGATTGTTAGTTTCGCACATTCCTTCCATTGCAATTGACCTGGCACAAACTGTCTCTGAGTTAGAAAGACACAGAAGACCTCATGATGTTGGTAGTGATCAATCACCGAAGACGATCACATGAAACGCTATACAGCCAGTACATGTAAGGGCACTGCATATAATCTCCAGCTAATGGCACATGCATGGGGATTCTTGGAGTGGAACCCCACAGCCATGCAGCCTAGTGAAAGTGGATCGCTCAGGGTTCTGAGAATGGAAGCCACGGAGTTGAGAGGAATGAAAAGCCAATGGGTTCAGAAATCAGCAGGGAGAGCAGGCGTGACACCAGTGCCACCAGCCGTTGACATGTCTCTGTGTCGCATCAGCAGGTGTGTAGATATGTATCATGTTTCACACTCCATGTCCAGAGGGATGGCTACCCAGATGGGATTTTAAATGCTACATTTAATGTGGTATCATTTAGTGAGTTAGTTCACCCCTCATTGGTTACCATCTGCTGCCCTCTCAGCCGCTCTGCTCTCACTGTCTGAGTAGGATGGGAACATTCACACTGTACTCTACTCTACTCTGCTGCCAAAATGCCCTGATCTTACTAGGGACTCACTTCTAGGAATGGACTGCACCTACATTCACCACACTTTACACAACTTAGTAAAATGAGTAAAATGTCTCTCAAAATCAAGTGTCTCACAAATGTGTATCTCACAATTTTTGAGTATGGATAAAATATAGACATTTTAAGCTATACAAGGTCATATTATGACAAAATAAAATACAGTGAAAAATGTTGCTTCTTTGTTTAGTGAAAAATGTGTTGTAGGCAATGCCATAACAATCATTCACAACAAAACTGATTGGACAAAAAAACAACTTATGCAACCTGGTATGCTTCAACAGAGTTGTAATAAGATAAACTGTCAACCACAATCTCATCAATTATAGTGTCTATTTCCCCCAAAAACGTTTGTCACTGACCTGATATGGGAAAAAACATCTATAAAAAAAACACACCTTATCTATGTATGATGATAAAGTTTTTCTCTTATTTCAGAATACAGTTCAGTACATTTTTAACCTGCATCAAAGTAAGATAACATTGTAATATACTTACCACTTAAGTGAAAACGTGTTTTTTTTGAAGAAGTCCATGGAGGGTAATGTTGCTTTCTTTTTGCCTTGTATTTCTCTGGTTACTCCAGTGAGAGAAAATACAACAAAACATTTATAAAACAAAATACTTCAGCTACCACTCCATTACGCTTGCATGTATTCACTTTTAGGATAACCCCATCTGTAAAATCTCGTGCAGCTTGAATTCTACGGCTTGAAGCCACACATTTATTTGATTTTGTGAGTTAAATTATTCTCCATTGGGTGAGTTTATTCCTCTCACATCAGCCTTTTCATTTCTGGAGACGGTAGGCTAAAAGACCATTACTGGCAGAGTTAGACAATCAGCCAGTGCCCCCTCCCTTTATTGACTGGCTCCCTTATCACACTTGCCAGAAAGCAGACAGCTGCCAACTGGCCTCACCTTCCAAATTATGCCAGTTTGGAATTGTTAATCGTGCTTACACTGCCCTCGATATGCTTGCATTTAACACCCCGATATGACATTTCATTTGAGGAGGGTTGGGGTGTATTGGGTGACATATTTGGGTGCTTGGGGCTGGGAATGAGGTGTTTAGAATTTTCCTTAATTTGAAGACCGTGACAGGTCGAGGGGGGAAAAACTGTGCAAAACATACATGTGTTCAAGTTGGGGGGGGGGGGGGGGGGGGGGGGGGGGGGACTATATTATCTTATTGTAGTGTAAAATAAGGTGGCCAATAGGTTAATGACCCCCTCCACTTGAAATGTCTGATAGTGATAGCCTATCATCGGAGAAACCCTTTTTTCCCTTAAGTCAACTAAGTCTGACCACTGCTTTAGAACTACTCAGGATTTCCCAAATAGTAAAACTGTGAAAACACACTTAAAATCATGAAATATTGAGAAAACATGCAGTGCGATGTCAGTATTGGATGTGTAGGCTACACGGAGGAGGAGGGGGACGACTTTCAGATGACATTGACGCTATGTAGATGGGAGTTGAGAATTGCGCTCCCCTCAACGTTTCTGGTTGTTGATGTTAGACAGTTGCACAAGGCGAAGCGGCTGCTTCTCGTGTTGATTCAGCCACCTCGTCAGCACCTAGCCGCTGGACAGCTCCCTGCAGCGGGATACGTGCTCGCTCTCCTCTAAGACACTTTTGGCGCTTGTTCCAAGTCTTTTAATGGAAAGACAATATCTTTATGTTCCAAGTAAAACTGGAAGTTTACAACTTCAGGGGGAATCTACGGATACCTCGTTTCGAGATTTGTGGCAGGCAGCACATCGTCGGTGGCAGAGAGCACAGCTTTATTGTAAGTAAATTGAGTTATTTGATGTGTGTGTGAATTACAATTCCGTGAATTGTTCATTGTCAGTGATAATTACAGTGATTAAACTCGTATAGTTGAACGTGTCAGTATGGAACGGTGCTAACCATAATTACGTTAGACCATGTCTTATAGCCAATTAAATGCAGAATATGGCACTCCTGGTTAATTGAATGGTTCATAAAACTGTAAATGTTTTGCCATATAGAAGTGCGTTTGGTTTTCTATTCATCGAATAGAATGGAAAACTATTTGTGCAGCCTGATGCGTAAAGCTTTATGCTTTGGGCATTCCTTTGTCTCCAATGCAATTGTGCTCCAGTTTGGTTGAGACATTGCTGTAGGTTTTCCTGTCCACTGAAACCAGTGCATAGGTAATTAGTAATCTTATCTGCACGTGTCAATTGCACGGTGTAATTGTTGCTCTCTCATGTTGGATCTGCATTTGTAATTCTCGAATGTTATGTTGCGTTTTGCGCGTGAGCTGGATGACTTGGATTCTTAACAATGTCTGAAAGTTTTTATCTTTGCAAATAATAATGCATTCAGGCCTACTCGATAATGGACTGTATTTCAAATGCAAATTGTGTTGATGTGATTTGTAAGAATATTGGGGGTGAGAGAAGTAGGCTATAGCCCAATCTACGCACAACCCAATCGTCTGCGTTGCTTTATGCGGGAAAAGGTCCTGTGCCATCATTGCTTTTTATAGCATTGTTGTGTCTCAGACTCTACATTGCATGTGAGACGGTTATTAATGTCTTGAGTGGAGTCGATGGAAAACATCTCACTTTCAAAATGCTTTATATATTTTCAGTAGCTTACAAATAGCCTAGGTGTATATTGAACAGTCAAGCTACATATAATGCCTGTAAATGGCAGCTATTTGTAATTCACTCATTGAATTCGTTCTTAGATTACATTCTCATTATGGAGCTAATCAATTGTAATTGTCATCATGTTGTCTAATCCATTTTCCAATTTGAGTGCGCTCTCAAAAACCGACCAATCACTCTATTCACCGATTCCAGGTTAACAGCAACTGACAAGCCGTGTCCCCATTGCCATCACCTGCTTCCAAGCTTCCAAACATTTGGTTAAAAGGTTTTGGTCAAAAATCGCGAAACTGCTGTCTGCGTGGACTGGTGCTGAAGCTCCCCGTCCCAAGGCCAGGACCACTACCAAATCGAGAGACATGGCGACGAACGGCACCAAAACGGATGGACAAGTAACAGAACTTAACGAAGTGGCAACTAATGTCAAACCCAAGTCACTGGACGTGAAAAGCGAAAAGACGAAAACGGATCTTCCCGAAAGAGAAACATGGGGAGGGAGATTCGATTTCCTTCTGTCGTGTGTAGGTTATGCAATTGGACTCGGAAACGTATGGAGATTTCCATATCTATGTGGAAAAAACGGTGGAGGTAAACACGATTTAAAAAAAAGTCATATAACGTAAGTTCATTTCACTATTCAGTAAGTGCTTCGTCCATTTCGAGCACTCTTATTATTATGTGAAATGAAGAGTGAATATGTCCCTCGTGTAAGAGCGCAGACAGGCATGATTCTAATCCTTATTTAATTATTCCAATTAGCTTCTACAGTGGGCTGCAAATAACATTCCATTGCATATGTGTGGTTTTATTCTGTCGTTTATATTTGGTTTGATTTACTTGTATCTATGCAGGAGCCTTCTTGATCCCCTATTTTTTGACACTCATATTCGCTGGGATGCCCCTGTTCCTGCTGGAGACCGCTCTTGGTCAGTACACCTCAATTGGTGGGCTTGGAGTCTGGAAACTGGCTCCCGTGTTCAAAGGTATACGTTCTACTCATGCAATGCTCTTACTGTATCTTCTACAATATTTTTTAAAAATCAAATTCCTAATTGCCTTGTGCATCCTATCTGTATTGTGTGGTATGCTAATTACGGCCATAACCAGAAAATATAGAGTTCTTCTGTATATCTCCTTGAATATGCTGGAGCATTAGGAGCATGCACAAATATGTCATCCATTTCCATCTCATAGGTGTTGGCCTTGCAGCAGCTGTCCTGTCCTTCTGGCTGAACATTTATTACATTGTCATCATAGCCTGGGCCATTTACTATCTCTACAACTCCTTTACCACTGTAAGTACCACACCTTTACCTCCTACGAGCCACATGGGGACGAGACGGACACGGGTTCCAGCTTTGCTCGCTGAGGATTGTAACATGCTTGTTGATATCATGTGAGATCTCTCATTGTGTCAAGGAGGAAAACGCATTATCCTTCTGTTTTTCAGGATCTTCCATGGAGCTCATGTGGCAATTCATGGAACACAGACAAATGTTACTCAAACTACAGTATTGTTGATAACACCAATCTTACCAGTGCGGTGATGGAGTTTTGGGAGTAAGACATTGACTGCTTTTTTCTTTGCTTCAGCACAGCATTACAGTACCCTGCATGCCTGCTTGAGAAGTATAACAAGAAAGTCCCTTGCTACAAAGCATTCTCCCAGTGTGTATAATAGTCTTATTGTTGCTTATAGGCGCAACATGCATCAAATGACCGATGGCTTGGAAAAACCAGGGCAGATCCGAGCGCCACTGGCAATAACACTGGCCATCGCTTGGGTCCTGGTGTACTTCTGTATCTGGAAAGGGGTGAGCTGGACTGGCAAGGTAAGAGATTGGTTTCGCATGGCAGATTTAGGTGTATGGAAAAGCTCTCTGGCATCCAATGTGTGACAGTGATGCAATATTAATCGTTGTCATATCACCTTCATTAATCATTTATATTGCACCGACTATTGTCCAGATTGATTTTAGAATGAGAGGAGATGCATCAAACATTCAGTAATCATGTGCAGGCTCATGGCGCCTTCTTTAATTCCAATTCTCCTGACACAGAATTGGGGAGGGGGAATTTGATGATAGAAGGAGGAGCAACCAGCCCTCTAAAATCTGGTTTTGTCCTTTCCTCTCCCCCTCAGTTGGAGCCAGTTCACTCCCTGGCGGTGCTACATTTCGTAAATCTAATGTGTCATGTGACCATAGCAAATAACGTTTGTTGTGGCCGCAAAACGCTCCACCCCCCTACGTTTTTTTGCTCTCAAATCTCATACGGGGTATAATATAAGCATAGCGAGATGGCGTCTAAGCAAATTTAAGCTTCAATGAATTTCTTTACTGGATTTCTGTTTATTCTCTTTTTTTCTGTTCTCTGTGCGAGAGACTGGAGGACAAGAAATGAATCGGTTTTCCTCTCTAGTGAATAGGCATTTGTTTAAGCTGAGACTGAATTACAAATGTGTTAATTCAATGGCGTATAGCTCGTCTGCACTTAACAGTGTTAACATGCATTTGTTTCCTGCTGATGGTGACTCATTGATTACATTTTCTAGGTTGTGTACTTCTCTGCCACGTACCCCTATTTCATGCTATTCATTCTGTTCTGCCGTGGAGTTACTTTACCTGGTGCTATGGATGGAATTCTCTTCTATATCACCCCTAACTTTGAAAAACTCAAAGAATCTGAGGTAATGAATGAACTTATCATTCTATGTAAGATAAATACTGTTATGTGAGTCAGTCATTTTTCAGCCTCCTTTGTCAAAAGGCTAAATGGTTATTTCCCCTTGTCAGGTATGGCTGGATGCTGCCACTCAGATATTCTTCTCCTACGGTTTGGGACTGGGCTCACTGATAGCTCTTGGCAGCTATAACCCTTTTAATAATAATGTTTACAGGTAAGATGGAGGTAGGCTTCTTTTAAATGGAAAGATAATGTATGAGGCAAGACTTGAAAAGGCAACCATTAGACCAGTATACCTTAATGCAGGGGTCGGCTAAATATATTAGGATTTTAGTTTTGGGTCAAACAATTATAAAATCACCAGAAATCCAGCTAAAATTTAGTTTAATTGAGGAAATCGGTTCCCAAGTATTCCTACAAATAAAATAAAAAGAGTAATGTGATCGTGTCTCAATGTAATCAAGGTATGAAATTATTGTTATTTTCAAATACAATCTCTTTCTGGGCTTCGTTGTGGTCAATTTGCAATGTACAGATTATTATGTTCCAGCCCCCCGACTATCCTCTCCGACAAAAATCCTCCCACGGCTGAATCTAGTTGCCTACCTCTGCCTCAACAGTATATGTGTCTATAAAGTGGACCTTACTATTAGCCATTTACAATGAGAAACCTAGATTAACGTTATTACAATCAATACAGTATTATGATTCAGTCTAATATGGGGCCCTTCATACAGCTTTGGATGTGCATAGCATAAATAAAAGAAGATTAGGCAAACATTTCACAACATCTTCTCCAAGCACATCCATGGTTCTAGGTCACACAAATTGCTCATCAGTTATATAATAATGTAGGCTCAACTTGCATTAATTTTAATTTACTTGTTGTTTATTAGTGGCCCAAAATTATTTTTGTGGTCCTCTGTAGCTCAATTGGTAGAGCATGGCGCTTGTAACGCCAGGGTAGTGGGTTCAATCCCCGGGACCACCCATACGTAAAAATGTATGCACACATGACTGTAAGTCGCTTTGGATAAAAGCGTCAGCTAAATGGCATATTATATTATTTATTATTATTTAGCTAGGGGCCAAACTTTATACCATGCAATTTGGTTTGTAAATAAGGGTTGATTTTTGGAAAACTCTTCTTTGCAAATAGGGGCTTGGTATCCATAAAAAATTGACATTGCATTATTTAATATTTAGGTATTACTGTGATATTTAACCTCTTTGGATAAAGGAACATTGTTCCCCATTGGAATGTTGAACAAAAAGCACATTTCAAATTGTTTTACTATCTCATTGCACACCTTTTATGGCCTACCGAAACATATTATTAAGCAGGGATATGTTTCCACTCAGCAATAATAAGGAATAAGCTCTCTCTCCTGAGAAGGGCCTTTTTAGGAATCCATGATGATGCTACAGAAGAGATGACAAATCACTGTAAACTCTGACAACGGGACATTTTCATGTTTCCTTTCCCCAGAGACTCTATCATAGTGTGCTGCATCAACTCCTTCACCAGCATGTTTGCTGGCTTTGTCATCTTCTCTATTGTGGGCTTCATGGCGAACGTGACTAAGAGGCCTATACAAGAAGTTGCAGCTTCAGGTAAACCCAATGCTCCCACTGTAATTGCACCATCAGTGCACAATAGGGGCTATCTATTCTGACTTCTGCTCACAGCAATCTAAATCTCCTCCACTCCCACTGAAATGTCACCTCTGCTTCTACCTCAATCCACACAGAGAAATGCAGCCAGGAGAAACTGTGAGCCAATGTGTTGTGTTGTGTGTTTGGTATGCAGGTCCAGGCCTGGCTTTCCTGGCCTACCCTGAGGCTGTGACCCAGCTGCCTGTCTCTCCTCTCTGGGCTATCCTGTTCTTCTCCATGCTGCTGATGCTGGGGATTGACAGTCAGGTAAGGCTGTTTTCATAGACTGCTCCGCAATCTCTTGGTGCTTTAGCCCAATCCTCTCGCTATCGTTCGCATGCCATGTCAGGGGAGTTGGCTAAAGCACCTACAGATCTAGGACCAGGCTAGTGTGTTTAAATATGTAAGCACAGGTACATATCCCGCTGTTTTCCCCTGGTCTCTCTGCATGAGAAGCTCATTTCTGTTTTTTTCGTAATGGACAGATATAGATGAGCCTTGACTTTTACTGTCAACTCCTTTTAATGCAACTATGTCACCTCTCTCTTGGCCCCCAGGTGCTCTTTTGTCATGCATCTAGCTTGTGTATGATATTTGGGTTACTGCAAGGCCACTGAGTCTGCTAGCAATGATACTAAATGCTGCTACTCATCTTCATACAAAACAGATAAATCACAAGTTGACACACTAGTGCTATTGCTATTTTTGTGATTAACCTTTATTTTTAATATGGAACTGTAAATATTTATACAGCAAGGGAAATGGCTATTTTGCATGTTAGAGTTATATTTTCAAGGTGGCTGCCAAAATGATGTCTCTAGTATTACAAAACGTTTATTTAGGTAGTTCTGGATAGAATGTTGGTTATCATATTGTATGGCTTTCCATTATCTTAATTAATTCAATATAATCCATCAATGTCTATAATCTTGGTCATTAGTTACAACTGTTACATGGTTATCATACTACTACATGAACATCAATGTTATAAATAAACAAATGTATATTTACCCATTAATTAAAATTAAAGTACAACAATGATACTATCCTTCAAGGGATCCATGTCCCAATAATTTACAATTACCGGTGCTTCATTTTTTTGGTCCTTTTAACTTTTTATTTTATAGAAATTCAAATTTACCAAATTATGCAGTTGATACAAATTCTTTTTTTTTGTCAAATCAAAATACAAACAGGAGCAAGACTGTCAATGATAGTAGAAACATCAAAGTGGAACTGACAGCATTTTGGCAACATTATTCAAATCTATTCATATACACCCCCAGGAAGAATATGACATTTTTACGTTTTCATAAATTCTTAGAATGTTTGGGAATTACATATACTAAGGCATTTGTGAAAATTCTATAGCAATATAGAGTGGGAAAGCAGCTAAGAGTGGGAAAGCGGCCATGCGTTTGCACAATTAATAGACACTGCAGTGAATAAAACCTAAGCACAGACCGGTGCACCATAGCTACAGTAGGCCTTTATGCAAACAAGCCATTTGCCACACACACCTGCCATCATTCACTTTGAACTGGACTATGTGTTTACAGGCAGTTGCAACAGCTTGACTTTAGATCATTAGAACGCATTTGCCAAAAGCCACAAAATACACCTGAATGGATTTCTGCAAATGTCAATACACGGGAGTCCTCTTACATTTAGGAACTTTACAGTCCTATTGATCAAACAACCATGAAAAGGTAGGCTCTCTCTCCCTCAGTTAAGCACATCAACAACAACAAGATCAGAAACTAATGCTAGCCAGAGCAAGATTAGGTAAAATATAATGAAGGAACATTAGATAAACCATCTCAAACTTTTTCAACTAGTTGGCCGTCAAAATTGCACTGAAAGACGATTGGGAATTGTAGCCTACTCATCCTTCTGTAGCTTGCCTGCAACCCATCACCCAAGCTAACTGGCTAAAGTTGGTTAGCTTGCTAGCTAACTACTTCCAGACACAAATGAGAGAACACCTCACTCTGACCATTTTACTCGCCCTAGCAGAGCTGGTTAGGCTGTTTACATGTTATCTAGAGCGTTTGTGACTAACTATTACTTTTTAAACCTACATTTACTGACACCGGTCATATTCAGCAGGTGTTCGCGTTCGTAAATTCATCAGTTATTCTAACTAGCTATGCTCTGACACTCAGTGTTTTGAAATCGGAGTAGATAGCCAGAGTGAATTTGCGAACGCAAAATATATGCTAACTGTATAACAGTTGTTCAAGTTCTTGCTAGCTAACCAAATGACATCGCTAACTGTGTATAACCACCAAAGACGATATGAGGGGAAAAAGTCTCTCACTCACCCTCTCCTCCAATGACATGCATGACATGACATCCTCCTAGCAGCTAGCTAGCTAGCTAGCAAGCTAACGGTAGGCTCCGTGTTTTTAGCTTGCTACATACATAAGATACGCTAGCCTATTAGCCACGTTATGACTGACTTTGATCATTGCCCTTGCTAGTTTGATTTTTTTGACATTCCCCTTAGTTACAGTTGTCCGTTTTTTTTTTTTGGGGGGGGGGGGGGGGGGGGGGTATACAGAAGATAGCCCTATTTGGTAAAAGACCAAGTCCATATTATGGCAAGAACAGCTCAAATAAGCAAAGAGAAACGACAGCCCATCATTACTTTAAGACATGAAGGTCAGTCAATACGGAACATTTCAAGAACTTTGAAAGTTTCTTCAAGTGCACTCGCAAAAACCATCAAGCTCTATGATGAAACTGGCTCTCATGAGGACCGCCACAGGAATGAAGACCCAGAGTTACCTCTGCTGCAGAGGATATGTTCATTAGAGTTACCAGCCTCAGAAATTGCAGCCCAAATAAATGCTTCACAGAGTTCAAGTAACAGACACATCTCAACATCAACTGTTCAGAGGGGACTGTGTGAATCAGGCCTTCATGGTCGAATTGCTGCAAAGAAATCACTACTAAAGGACACCAATAAGAAGAAGAGACCTGCTTGGGCCAAGAAACACGAGCAATGGACATTAGACTGGTGGAAATGTGTCCTTTGGTCTGGAGTCCAAATTTGAGATATTTGGTTCCAACCGCCGTGTCTTTGTGAGATGCAGTGTGGGTGAACGGAGGATCTCCGCATGTGTAGTTCCCACCGTAGAGCATGGAGGAGGAGGTGTTATGGGTGGGGGTGCTTTGCTGGTGACACTGTCTCTGATTTATTTAGAATTCAAGGCACACTTAACCAGCATGGCTACCACAGCATTCTGCAGCAATATGCCATCCCATCTGGTTTGGGCTTAGTGGGACTATTATTTGTTTTTCAACAGGACAATGACCCAACAGACCTCCAGGCTGTGTAAGGGCTATTTTACCAAGTAGGAGAGTGATGGAGTGCTGCATCAGATGACCTGGCCTCCACAATCCCCCCGACCTCAACCCAATTGAGATGGTTTGGGATGAGTCGGATGGCAGAGTGAAGGAAAAGCAGCCAACAAGTGCTAAGCATATGTGGGAACTCCTTCAAGACTGTTGGAAAAGCATTCCAGGTGAAGCTGGTTGAGAGAATGCCAAGAGTGTGAAAAGCATTCATCAAGGCAAAGGGTGGCTATTTGAAGAATCTCAAATATAAAATATATCTTGATTTGTTTAACACTTTTTTGGTTACTACATGATTCCATATGTGTTATTTCATAGTTGTGATGTCTTCACTATTATTCTACAATGTAGAAAATACTAAAAGTAAAGAAAAACCCTTGAATGAGTAGGTGTGTCCAAACTGTTGACTGGTACTGTAGATACTAAGCAAAATACTGTAAATATCTCCCCTTTGTAACTGTGCGTCCACCCTATTTGTGTGTGTCTGTGTGTAGTTCTGCACAGTGGAGGGCTTTATCACAGCTCTGGTGGATGAGTTTCCCAGGGCACTGAGGGGCAGGAGAGAGCTCTTCATCGCTGCTGTCTGCCTGGTATCGTACCTGATCGGCCTGTCCAACATCACACAGGTACAGCACAACTCTCTCTCTCTCTCTCTCTCTCTCTCTCTCTCTCTCTCTCTCTCTCTCTCTCTCTCTCTCTCTCTCTCTCTCTCTCTCTCTCTCTCTCTCTCTCTCTCTCTCTCTCTCTCTCTCTCTCTCTCTCTCTCTCTCTCTCTCTCTCTCTCTCTCTATTAGCCAACCATCAAGATGAACTACAAAACCTCCAAGCTCAATGAGACAGTAGTTGATAAAAATTGGAATTACATTGGATAGCACTATCGCTGTCTAATTCTATATAAAAAGAACAGATTTGTTTAGAGTAGAAAATGGATCCCAACCACCATCTTTCCCTCTGAGATGAGGACATTAATATAACGTACAGACCATATGGTTTCTTATCGTAGTAGGACTCATCCTTCTGTGTTGTGTCACTAGGGAGGCCTGTACGTGTTCAAGCTCTTCGACTACTACTCTGCCAGTGGGATGTGTCTCCTCTTCCTGGTGTTCTTCGAGTGCATCTCCATATCCTGGTTCTATGGTGGGTAGAGTCGCTAGACAACATCAAATACACACAGTAGCTACATTATTGCAGTGAACAGTATACATCAGAAACACCCTATTTCAGCATTACAAAATGACTTGTTACAGTGATGTATGCTCAGGCAAGAGGTGATGAACAATGAATGAACTAGACGCACTAGTTAAATCTGAAGGTTGAATGATCAAATAACCTCACATTTCTCCAGAGACATTAGTCCACCTTCAAACCCTGTTTACCCTTAGGGACATAAACGCTGCTCACATGTCCTAGACTACACCAGCTCTCCTCCCTCATTACAATTCATGGCAGACCAGAGGAAAATAGGAAGAAATTGAATTTGAATATTTTGATCATGCATTCATTTGTCTCGCAGGTGTGAACAAATTCTATGACAACATCCAGGAGATGATTGGCTACAAGCCCTGTATATGGTGGAAGCTGTGCTGGGTCTGTTTCACCCCTCTCATCGTGGCTGTAAGTAGTACACCATACATATCCAATAGAACATCCAGTACCATGACATGAACAAATAACATCAATATGACCTGCCTCAAGCAATTTTGAGACAGAGAAAGAAACTGACTGAGAAGAGGTGGTGTCAGGATTAATAAGGATCGTACCATGTCTCCCACAGGGGGTGTTTCTGTTCAGTGCAGTCCAAATGGTTCCTCTCACCTTGAACAACTACGTGTTCCCTGCCTGGGGCCAGGGAGTGGGCTGGCTCATGGCTCTGTCCTCCATGGTCCTCATCCCCGGATACATGGTCTACATGTACTTCGGACTCAAGGGCACTTGGAAAGAGGTAAGCTACATAATGATTTATGGAAATGGAATGTTCTCCCATTTCTCTAAGAGCAAGATAATAAAAGCAATTTGGTGATGATTGATATGTTCCCCTAATACATTATTAACATGTGTTGAAGTAGTAATTATATAATTTCAGTCAGGTTCTCCTCTCTGGACATGTTGGGGATGCATTCATTGTGTTACTTAATTAACGGTTTTGTTGTGATTCTTTCTCAGCGCCTGCGGATAATGTTCCAGCCTCCTGCAGTGGTCCGACGACCACAGGAGAATGGACCTGAGACAGTGGTTGCCGAGACCAACATAGCGAGTCCCTCTAACGCGGCCAACCCAACTAGTCCTTCCAACCCGGCTAGTCCTGCCAACCCAACTGCTGCAAGCCCGGTTGCTGCAGCCCCGACCAACCCAGCACCTCCAGCCGTTCCAGCTACTCTGGCTAGCCCTGTGAACCCAACCAGTCCGATCGTTCCAACTGTCCCTACCGTCCCTACCGTCCCTGCCACTCCAGCCAACCCGACCAGCCCTACCAGCCCACCACCCAATCCGGTTAGCCCAACGGCAAAAGAGACGGCCATCCCACCACCCAACATAGTGAGCTCAACAAACCTGACCAACGCAGAGGCCAATGTCTAGACCAGGCAGAACCCTCATGGAGAACGTGTAGTCAACGGCGAACATTACAAAGGACTTCCAAGATTTTAATTGATTCACCTACCTCCAGGGGCAATATCTGATCAAACCGGATTTTAAAATCATGTTTAATTTTTCTGCATTTGTAAAACCAACCTGTTAATGTCTTTTTATTGGTATGCATTACAAATACAAATATCAAAGACTGTTAGTGTTCACAAAAACTACCGTAATCTGAGTAAAAAATATGTAAACAAACTGTGTAATACTGTGAGAAAAGAAAACAACTATTGAAAATATAGAATAGCAATTTGTTCAGTATCTTCATGAACCAAGTAAATACAGTGTGACTATAGTAGAGATGAAGTACTAGTGAACAAAATGGTCAACATGGGAGAGTGCAAGGGACAGAGTCAAATTATCGTGGTTGTTTACTAAGCCTCACACAGTCATCTCTTGACAAAACTTTGCACGCTGTGAGGCTGATTACAGGCCACATGGCAATGGGGGAACTCTGATGAAGAAGCACAATGCCAATAAGAAGTTTAAAGTCTATGAACCCTGGAGTGATCCAGTATATTTGTTGCAAAATATTTTGTGTGTGAGAGAGACTTTTTTTGAGTAAAAAAATGAACTTTTATGTGACTGAAACATTTTTAGAATTATTTTTAATATGTTTTCTACTATAAATGTTGTGACCGAGGACCAAAATCGTAGGCAGACGAAAGCAAAAATGATCTATGCCATGTAGTGTTTGGCTTGCGAAACACAGGGTATCAAAAACGTACAAAAAAATTAATACAAAAGCACAAGGTATAGAAAAGTGATTTACAAACATTGACTATCCCTTGATGCTGACAGTCAATCTAGTTTACTTTTTTGCATGCTTTCCTCAGGAACATCAGAAAAAAATTCCAGAATGTCCCCTGACAGATCTAAAACGAGAACAGAGAAGGCCTTAAGCCAGTTATCAACCAATTTATACCAAGCCATAGTCTGTTTGCATGACTGGGCAGATCTCTAGAATATCACTTTGTACACTAGCAAACAATATTGGACCAACTCTATGTTTAAAAATATTCATTTTTATTTCACTTTATGTGTAATGATCAATTATACTTTGATCAATTTGTATTCAGCAATACATATGTAGATGTATAGGTGCAGGCCAGTAGAAGAGTGGTCTGTTTCTCTTTTTGTTGTCTTTGCTTTACTAGTAAAAAGCACAAAGCTTTAATTTCCACAGACTTTTGACATGGTGTGTTGGCTTCTATGGCGGCGGCAGTGAAAAGCATCTGGTCGAACAAAACATGTTTACTTTGAAAAGCAAAACAACCAAGTGAAAATGTGAAATGGCTACAGTTCATGTCCTGTGAATTTTGTATAAAGTTACTCTACCACAGTTTTCTCTGGAACTTTGTTGTAAAACTGTACTGTGTAAAACATGTAACTGTGAACGTCTGTATGTTGAAATGTTGAAAAAATTCTAAAGAGTTGCTGTTTTCTGCAATAATATTTTGATCACAGAAACTAAAGCACATATCTTACAGAAATATACGAAATGATGATGACAATGAAGATATTGACGATTATATTAAAAATAGAAACTATGTCTAGTAAAATATCATATTGTTTTGTATATTTATAACTGTCTCACTGCCTAATGCACAACATAATATAAACATGATATGTATTTAAATGGTGTCATATGATAAAGCACGATTGTCATGTTATACAAAAAGAAAAAAGCTGAAAAAATAAATAGTTATAGAAAATATGAATAACTGTCCTGCATATGTTCACTACTGCGCTCAAGCATAATGTTATGTTTGCTGAACTGTAGCTTTGATGTCGTGAAATTAGGTCACCATACTAGACCTCTCAAATACTATATTCTGCATCAAACCTCTGAGTAGGAATTGGTAATTGTTTTGAATCTCTGAACAGAGACAATAGATATGTGTAATGACATTTGTAATTAATAGATTTACACACTGAAGAAAATACTATCTAGAAAAAAACAAGTAAGGATTTATAGCAAATATAGCAAGAATGGAAAAGCATATAAAGGCAATTGCTAATTACTAAAACCATGGAGTTGTGCTATAGAACCGGGTGGGAGACTAGAAATTAAATGTACAGTGCCATCAGAAAGTATTCACACCGCTTTACTTTTTCCACATTTTGTTGTGTTACAAAGTACGATTCAAATGGATTTAATTGTCTTTTTCTACAAAAAAATACTCTGTAAAGTCAAAGTGGAAGAACATTTTTAAACATTTGTAAAAATATATATATATATGAAAAATAAAACACTAATATATCTTCATTAAATAAGTATTCAACCCCCTGAGTCAATACATGTTAGAATCACCTTTGGCAGCGATTACAGCTGTGAGTCTTTCTGGGTAAGTCTAAGAGCTTTGCACACCTGGATTGTACAATATTTTCACATTATTATTTTTAAAATTCTTCAAGCTCTGTCAAATTGGTTGTTGATCATTGCTAGACAGCCATTTTCAAGACTTGCCATAGATTTTCAAGCCGATTTAAGTCAAAACTGTAACTAGGTCACTCAAGAACATTCAATGTCATCTTGGTAAGCAACTCCAGTGTATATTTGGCCTTGTGTTTTAGGTTATTATCCTGCTGAAAGGTGAATTTGTCTCCCAGTGTCTGTCGGAAAGTAGACTGAACCAGGTTTTCCTCTAGGAATTTTCCTGTGCTTAGCTCTATTCCGTTTATTTTCATCATAAAAAACTCCCTAGTCCTTGCCGATGACAAGCGTACCCATAACATGATACAGCCACCACCATGCTTGAAAATATGAAGAGTGGTACTCAGTGATGTGTTGTGTTGGATTTTCCCCAAACATAACGCTTTGTATTCAGGACATAAAGTTAATTTCTTTGCCACATTTTTTCCAGTTTTACTTCAGTGCCTTATTTGAAACAGGATGTATGTTTTGGAATATTTGTATTCTATACAGGCTTCCTTTTTTTCACTCTCTCAATTAGGTTAGTATTGTGGAGTAACGACAATGTTGTTGATCCATCCTCAGTTTTCTCCTATCACAGCCAATAAACTCTGCAACTGTTTTAAAGTCACCATTAGTCTCATGGTGAAATCCCTGAGCAGTTTCCTTCTTCTCCAGCAACTGAGTTAGGAAAGATGCCTGTATTTTTGTAGTGAGTGGCTGTATTGATACAACATCCAAATTGTAATGAATAACTTCACCATGCTCAAACGGATATTCAACATCTGCTTTTTTTATACCCATCTACCAACAGGTGCCCTTTTTGCGAGGCATTGGAAAACCTCCCTGGCCTTTGTGGTTGAATCTGTGTTTGAAATTCACTGCTCAACTGAGAGACCTTACAGATAATTATATGTGTGGGGTACAGAGATGAGGTAGTCATTCAAAAATCATGTTAAACACTATTATTGTATTCAAAGTGAGTCAATGCAACTTATTATGTGACTTGTTAAGCAAAGTTTTACTCCTGAACTTATTTAGGCTTGCCATAACAAAGGGATTGAATACTTATTGACTCAAGACATTTCAGCTTTTCATTTTTAATTAATTTGTCAACATTTCAAAAAACATAATTCCACTTTGACATTATGGGGTGTTGTATGTAGGCCAGTGACAACAAATCTCAATTTAATCAATTTTAAATTCAGGCTGTAACATAACCAAATGTGGAAAAAGTCAAGGGGTGTGTATATTTTCTGAAGGCACTGTAGGTAAATCCTTTGTTCCGTATATTGGGGGGAAATAATGCATTTCTCTAATATTCATATCCTGCCACAGTACACATGCCAACACTACAAGAAAGAATTACAAACCAAAAATGTATTTTGAGAGTTTAGACCAACCATGAAAAGTGAATAAGAGAAAAATGGATAAAACCTTTCCTTGTGGTGTACAGACGTGTGTCATAAACAGTCTGATAGCGAAGCCTCAGCAGGCTAGAAAAACATCACCACAAAACAGCTCTGGCCCCGCGGCCTGGTGTGCTGATCCGCCTCATCTCCCCAACCTCTTACGGCTGTGTGTGTATGTGTGTCTTCCTTCTCCCCCACCTCCTGCAGTTGCTGCTTCCATTAGCTTCCAATGTGATAAAAGAGACGGCACCAGCTGACACCACAACAATGATTCGCACATAAATGAAAGAATGAGATGTCCCCTCTAGTAGCTTGTGACAAAGTGTGTGTGTGTGTGTGTGTGTGTGTGTGTGTGTGTGTGTGTGTGTGTGTGTGTGTGTGTGTGTGTGTGTGTGTGTGTGTGTGTGTGTGTGTGTGTGTGTGTGTGTGTGTGTGTGTGTGTGTGTGTGTGTGTGTGTGTGTGTGTGTGTGTGTGTGTGTGTGTGTGTGTGTGTGTGTGTGTGCTTGCGAGCGTGTAGCTGCATAGCTGCAGAATATGTCTGTGAGCATATTAGGGGTTGAATAATGCCCATAACGGCAGTTCATATAAACTAGCCAATGGTGGATGGCATTCTAGCGTCCCTATTCCCAGTAGTATAATTTAGCATCATTACCTATCAAAACCAGTCACCACTGAGGCAACAGAAGCTGATGTTTTATGTCCACAAAGACAATGTGTCATAGTTTTCAGCTGGGGAAGACACAAGAAGGAAGCTCTTAAAAATGTATCATTGCTGCATCAAATTGGGAAATACAAGACTGTTATTGATACATGCAGTACATTTAGAAACATTTACTATACATACACATCTAAATAGGTGACAGATATACCTTATACCTTGTCATAAAAAATACCACATTCATTTCATGTGTCCTCCTTAAAGGGGACATTTGTGATTGCTACATCCATTTTTTGACTTTTAAATTAATGATATATACCTGATTCTCGAAGAATATAACTCATGAGCTTAGTTCAACTGTCGTACCCCATCAGAACCTAAAATATAAGCTTGTTTTACTTAATTGTTAGTTAACAATAATGCAATTGTAAACAAACACTGTACAGCCTCAAAACATGGTTAAAATGATGGTCAGTCCTTGCATGCATAACTCTGTTTATGAATTACGGCGGGGTGACCACTTTTTTGTTGTTTGAACTGCAGATTGCCCCTTTAATGAATTACATATTGAGGGATTCAGACATGGATGTTCGAAAAGGAGAGGGACATTGTTGTTTGATATTTGGCATTTATTGGCGCAGTCGGTGGTGAGAGACTATTTTTAAAGTTAAAAAGTGCTGGGAGTGTGGCCACGGGAGAGGACACTGGAGGAGCAAACTGGTGATCCATGATGCTTTTATGAAAGAATGACAGAACGCTGGGGCTTATAAACTCACACAGGCAACTATGATTAATCATCATAGCCTACTTAAAAGAGGAAAACTCATTCTGCTGTTAGGAACAAAATACTGATAATTATGGGTGGGGGGTCTTCAGATTTACTGTAAACCCTTACAGTACTGCATAGGCTACACAAATCAAAGCAGTCTCTGTTCTCAAACATATTATCATCACTTTCGTTTTTGTGACATTTCCAGTCACCCAACCTTCAGATTTCTGATGTGGGGTCTTTTGTGTTTATTTTTGTGATGATTCCTATTCTTCTTCTAGGCTTAGGTTGTTTGCCCCAGACTTCCGTCTGACTGAGGTACTCTCACCCGAGAATTCAAAGCAAATACATTAATGAATAACTAATCTTTGTAGATAAGTGAATCTACATATCAATGTAATCAGAGGATGTTGTGTGCTTGGCTATTTCCAGCAGAGGGGCTGAGAGGATGTCAAGCGTGCAAAGCCTCTCTGCATATATGCTAATCACGCTTAGTTTCCAATCTCAGTATGAACCCCGCTGAAACAAACTTGTTTACAGAAAAAAATCATCTGAAACGCTAGAATCTTAGCTGATTTTTTCACCTTCACTGAATCTGTGCTAATGCCGCATCGATATGCATTTACTCAGCACAGCGGTGTCTGGGTTTGGAGATCAGTGGAAGCCTATGGGGACATGTGAAACCATCGTTTCTCCCCATGATATTCCTGTTTCAGGAGATCTTTTCGTGATGCAGCAGATACAGCATGCTGTGGTGCTTTCGGATCCAGGGCTCAAAGGCAGCCAACATATTCTTCAGCACAGAGGTATCATAGGCTTATAGTAGCCATGTCAAGTAGGTAACCCAGTCAACCACTACAACTTATGGGAGGTTAACACACGTGCTTTAAGAAAATGCAACAGTCCTTTTTAAGAAATCCCCCACTGAAGATTATACAGCCCCAATAAATGAGGGATGAATTTAATCTACCCATCCCCCACGCCACTGGAAATTGTTTGCCTCAGACCAGCTCTTCCACAGGTCAACTAATGGGTTGAATATTCTTGTAGTTAAGAGAGAAATTACCTAAACAATCAGAAGTGCACAAATAATTTAGGTCCTGCCTTTGATTGACAGCTCAATTATCTTCAATCTGGGTGACTTCCGGTCAGGTGATGTAAGAAGACGTGTTTGAGAGAGGTCCCCAATGAAACTTTAATTGTAATGTTTTTTATACATGCCACTGTTAGTTCTTATGTGGATGTATTAGTTGGTTATATTATTTTAATCACTTTTCACGGTACCATGAGCAAGACCAACCCGAAGAGAACTGCTACGACTAACACATCGTCGAAGGCCGAACCATCTACTCGAACACAGAAAATGGCTGCCGCGGCCAGCCCTGCTACAGATTCAAAGGCCTTGTCTATGACCACGCTTGTAGCTTAGCTAGCTAAACAAAGAAGTAGCCTAAAAGAGGATATGGCTTCTCTCATCAGCATTTAATAATAATAATA